CGACAGATGTAATTAAACTGCCTCAAGACAGAGGTCAGGAGTAAGATTTAATGACACACAAGGCCATATTTCTTTATTAGAAGAAGTGGAATGTAAATACCACTGAGGCCACTGAGTCCTTTCTCTGTCTAGACAGACTCCCTCTAACAGTCTTACAAAGTGATGGCTGCATTTATAAACACACTCTTCTCCAGTTTGGGCTAAACACATATTGCTGCAGTTCTTTCAGCCATTGGGCCTTTGTCTTTGTCATCACAATAAGTGCAACACATTGTAACTGTCACCAGGGGTCTTGAACTAATTGTGATATTAGCCATGTGGAGCTGGCTAGAAAGAAGGCATGCTGCGTCCTGAATATGGTTTTTAAATCTTCAGTGAACTAGGATTTGTTATGCAAATGTGGACTGAGAGAATGGCAGACAATAGAGGGTGTTTTTGTATTTCATCAAAATGCATGAGGTTTTTCATCTCGACTAGACGGACAATTTGAAAAATGCTGCTGGTGTTGTTGTGCAGTCATTTTTCTGAACATAAAATCAGGAGCTCTGACTCAACATGTTCTCAGCTCAATGTCAACAGCCTGAAGAATCCCAAAACTGTGTATAGTATTGGTGTCAAGTGGTGGTCTGATGGATGTGAAAACAAGCATCAGCTCTGCAGAGCAGTCTAGCTGTAATTTAGTAAAACATCCCTTATCCGTGTGTGCGTGTGTGGATGGGATTTTAGTGATCCATTCACCTCCCCTCTGCGCTGCGTCACATAGTGTCAGCTGGTTAGACATGGTGCCTTTACTTGCCCAGAAGGGGGTCATCACATGAGGAATGTGATTCATTCTGCGATCTGCTAAGCCCTTGGCATCAGTAGCTGCGCTGGCCAAAATATGCCACGCACGTCACGGTGCCAGTCAAATTCCCTGTATCAGTGTTCTTTTCATTTGGATCAGCTCCTTCTGTCTGAATAAACTGGGTGAACGTTGCTGACAAGGAGAGAAACCAGCTTTTCCATTCCTCATGTAAATACTCTCTTTACACAAACATGCCAACACATTGAGATTAAAATCCAGAGGGACTGGTAAGAAGCCACCTTGCTTACCACTTCTCTAGGTTTCCAATTTGCTAATGGCTTCCAAACCTTCCCATTCATAAATGGAGTAATGACAGTGGGTTTGATATGTGCAACACTGTCCCAAAGGCTCTGCACATTATCTAATTGATCATTAAAGGTGTGATATTTTCCAGAGGAAGTAACAATCCAAACTTTGTGTTGGTAGAGAGGCTACTCTCCGCTACTAAGCTTCCTTTCTGTGTGAGATTTGTAACCACAGTGACCGGAGTAGAGCAAGAAGGACAACAGAAGGCAGCAGGAGGGAAACTGTTGTACAGCAAGCACTGAGTCCAGGTTGTAACTTTTCCATGGCTGAACCAAAGGGTAGGATTTTACTGTTTTATACAAGAGATTAGGGGTTTCAGTGGCTGTATGTATGGTGTGGGTGTTTGTGTGGAGTCTGTAGGGAGGTGTATTCAGAGGTTATCAACACTTAACTGGCTAAATAAGTTAGTCAAAAACTGGCAACAAATGGTCCATTTATGCAGTTGACTTTTTATTGATGAAGCATCGTTGTGGCTTGACTAACCTCCAGTACATTGACGCAGAAGAGTTCAGACTAACCTCATAAATAGGAGTGCAAAAGTATCAACATTTTTGGATCTGGGAGAAAGGGGCTGCAGTATTACCTCGGATGTTAATGTGTAACTGGCAAGGAAAAAAATGTTTCCTGACCGTTGGACAACATTAAGTGCTGCCTTTTTAAAAGACTTAATTCTAAAATGTCTTTTGGAAATGTGTCAGCTGGAGATGGATACAGATACTTTATCCATCTTAAAGGCAAACGTGTGTAGACTTTGGTTATTCTACATCATGAGGCTGTATAAATGCACTCAGTATCTTATGGCTGTGGAAAAGTTTGCTCATTGGCCTTTTTCCAAGATATATTTAGTGATCTTTTTATTAGTTTGTACCGAGAGGGCAGAGTCTACTCTCTTTTTTGAATTGCTGTCATGAGGCCTGTTACCACTGAAGAAGTTCCTAGTACTATTTGAAGGGCAGGAACTTTACAGGAACGTCCTCTCGCTCGGCCCTCTCAACCGCCTTGTCTCCACTGAGAGGGCGGAGTAGGAGGAAGGTTCCTTTAAAGTTACCGGGCTCTGGATGTGACGTAATCGATGTGCGACCATTTTGACCGGGTCGATGCGGCAAAGAAACAAAAAATAAGAAGAACAAAGAAGAAGAAACAGAAGTATGAAGCAGAAGTAAGAAGAAGAAAGCAGACATAAGAAAGATGATTATCAACATGGAAGGAGCTGAGGTGGTTGCTGGGTTTCTGGCGTGTCTCTTCGTTTACATGACTCCTTGTCTGCTGAGTTTTAAAAATGCCGGCTATTTTGTCGCTTTCTGTTAGGGATGCGCCGAAATGAAAATTTGTGGCCGAAGCCGAATATTATTAAACGCTTGGCTGAATACCGAGTACCGAATACCGAATATCATTGTTTAGTTTTTCATTAGTTTTTGCAGATGAACCCCCTCCAGATTAGTGTTGTCACAGTACCAAAATTGGGACCCACTGTGCCATACCAGTGAAAATATCATGGTTCTGAGTAGTATCAGGATACCACAGCGCAAATGAGGCAGATGTGTCTTGTGTCATTTATAAAAAGATAAATCACTTTTCTATAATATATCACTGATATTTCAATGGAATAAATTACTTATTGACTTACTCATACTTCAAACACAGCATCAATCAGTGATTAACATAGGGGGGATCAAAATAACTAAATAAATAAAAATAAATAAATAAAATAAGAATCAACCAGCCACCCTCCTCCCCTGACAGTCCCTTCATAAGTAATGAACAGTCCCTAAAGTGCGGTGAGGTTTGTGGGCCGTTACTGCCGGAAAGAGAGTAATGTGAACGGCTCGTTTCTCCTCTGACACGTCACATACCTGTGTTCGGCTGGCTCGGCTGTTCAGGTACTTCTGGGCAGTCATGACACCAAGAAGAGGATATTATTGGAACCGACTTCTCCGTCGCCCGGTAAGCCGATGGCTGCCGTATTTGACAGGAATACATTAACGTTACTGTCTGTGTCTGTGACCCCCGTTCAACCCACAACCGATGGGATTCGCCTTTTGTTTCTGCTGCTGGTTGAAATCTGTAGGCTGCTCGCACAGCGTGCTGAATGATTTAAGCCTATTTTGCTCGCTCAAAACTATTTTTAGTCGCAAATGCGAGTGCCGTGACGGACGGATCGCCACACTACCGACATTTTATTCCGCCTGTCACGGCACGCCGTTTGATTGCGTTATCAAAACGCCGCTATTATTCGGCCTTGCTTTTAACTTATTCCACCGAATACCAAATGTGTGTTTTTTTGCAATATTCGGCCGAATATATTTGGTTACCGAATATTCGGTGCATCCCTACTTTCTGTTAACGTCACATCCCGCCTTATGTATATCCAATCAGCACCAAGTAAACCCCAAGCCCCACCCAGGAGTTTTTCGGGGCCGTTCTGAGTACCTACTCCACGGCAGGGACTTGTTTAGCCCCTGTAAAAGTTCCGTAACTCTGTCCTTCTGGGGTGGTCCCTGCGGTGGAGACACGCACCAACGGCGCCGGCCCCGTAAAATTACCCCGAAGTTCCTGCGGTGGAAACGGGCCTATGGTTTGATCATTGATATTTTTACTCCTGTCTTTCTTGCTTAGTAGAAGGAAACCTATTCACTTTTACTCTCCCTTTTTTGGAAGCTTTTGTTTTGTTCCATTACTTAATTATATGCTAGTATGTCTTTGCTCTTTTTCCCTTTTCCATCTTTCTCAACCTGTTTTTATTTCCTCTTCAATCCATCTCTTGCACAGCTTGTTTTGTGGGCCATACAGAGCTTCTACTGGCGAGACCATATGTGTAGCAATTTACTGGAAGCAGATCTATTAGTAGTGGGAGGAGGGGAGGAACAAGTGGCTATATAGGAAAAAAGAGGAGTAATCGGGAGGGGGTGGGGAGAAGCTACTGTGGTCAGAGGGGCAAAGGAATGAGGAGTGTGGGAGGAGAGGATGATCGAGGGGGAAATAATAAACCCGTAACGAATCCCAGAAAAGCTCTGTCCAGCCAGAATAAAAGAATTTGACTGATGTTAATGAGTTCAAGACCTATATATGACTAAGCTCACACACATCCTCCACATCTCGTCCCTTTCTCCATCCTCACCACAGCTTCTTCTACTCTACATAAATTCCAAGTTTTCCACTAATACTGTCAATTAAGGAATCTCCCAGCACACAAATCTCTTAAGTGATCACAGGATGATGTAACGATTACCATCTGCATCTGCTCAACAAAGACAATGGCTGACAAGTGGGCCATTTGGTGCTTGTTTTTCACCTCCTCCCTCTCCTCCTCCTCTGTGGGCTGTGTGTCATGTCAGGAGATTGTGAAGCCTCTCTTGGCTTTCAGCACTCCAAACCACAGCTTTTTCCCTTTCAGTTTCAAGATGCTGGAAGCCATTTGGAGCGCAGTCACAAGTCATCAGTTTTTTGTTTCTGCCCCATAAAATGTGCAATTGAAACAACCACGACTGCTTTTATTGTGGTACTTTTAATAGTGATTCCTGAGTTTATTTTGATACCGCACACATTATGATGCATTATTATCATGGTAATTGTGTTAGATGGGTTGACTAGTCACTGTGGAGGAGCGAGACTGGTCTACAAAACAGATTTGTTGGCATCTTTCAGTGCTCACTTCCTGTTTTTCAGACTCCTTCAAATTCCTTGGAGGCCCCTCTCCATAAATGGCATTTCCTTTGGCTGACAGTGTCATGTTCATCATATGACTTCATGAGTAGTGAGGCATGGTTCAATTCTGGGTTTAAGAGTAGGTGTGCAGTAAAAGAAAGTTATTAATATCCTTGTGATGATGTGTTTTGTTGTTCTTCTGCAGGACATTGAAGTGTGAGAGCAAGGGCCAGTCAAGACGAGTGTGAGCCCCTGGACCTTTTCAAGGAAGCAGCAACGTTGGCATTCTCACCTGTAAGAGGAAGGAATGAAACCGGATGGGGATACCATGGAAACCACGGAGCCCACCGAAGCCGCAGCAGTAGCAGAGCCTTCGTCATTGCAGGACAACATAACAGAGCCAGCCCCATCGCAACCAGAGGAAGCTGCAAGTGATGCAGCACCTGCGACGGCTCCGAAGGCCAGTGGCAAGCCAGTGGCAGCAGATGCCAAAGTCAAACCAAAAGCCGTTGCAACTAAAACACAGCCCACAGCTAGATCTGCAGGGGCCTCTGGGTTGCGGCCAGGTACTGCCTCACACCGCACGGTGAATGACGTCAAATCCTCTAACAATGTCTCTGCAGCTGCAGCCAAGAAAACGACAACTACAGCAAAACCATCCGCAGCGGGAGCTGTACCGAAAAGGCCGGTGGGTGTAGCAGCAGTTTCTTCAACTGTCAAGAACCAAACTAGAGTGCCTGACAAGAAGCCTGTTGGATCGGCTAGGGCTACCTCTGTTGCTTCTGCCACAGCAACAAATGGTTCCAAACCAACAACAGTGAATGGCGTTACTAAGAAGAGACCACCAGCTGAGACTGTTAATGTAGCCAGACCCAAAACCACAGGTAAGACAAGATAATTAAAACTGCACTGAAATGAAAAAGACCGATGTAGTTTATGTGATTTCATGTCTGAAAATATACAGGACTTTTCTCTGCTACAACCTATGCTTAAACATCTTAATTTTGCTTTTTTTTCTATGCAGTCTCACTTTAATGTCCTTCCATTTTTATTTTTGTAGCTATTGCCAGCAGAGCAGCGGTGTCCACTGCCCCAAAACCCAGCACTTCGACCAAAACCGCGGATGGTGCCGCCGCCTCAAAGACCACCAGGTATGCATGTTTATCCAAACCAGGCAGCAGGAATGCTAAAGTAATCTAAACAGAGGCCGATGGTGCAGTGTCCACAGAGTGCTCTAACACAGGCATTTGAATAAAGTATGCAGTTGCAAACTTCTTTTTGTTTTACTTAACAATAACACTCCTCCCTCGCTTTCTTTCTTCCTGCTCTTTATTGTGTTTCTGTCCGTCATTCACACACATCCTCCCCCTCTCTGAGATCTCAACTTTATAATCCCCCCCCTGCAAACTGGATGAGAGGGTGACTGTTTATCTTGATGCCCTAAAGAGAGCAGGGGAGAACGGTGACCATTGTGGTCTTTGGGCTGTTATTGAGTCAAATTTCGCTTCAAGAGCGTGAGTCACGTTAGCAGAAATAACCTGAGACAGAGGGCCTTAACAGAGGCAGCGATACTGAAGAACAACCGCTTTGTCCCATACAGACCCCCTGGCAGAAACCAGCCCCACCTCCCCAGGGCAGAGAGCTATTGACTCGGATCATAATCCCTCTCATACTGAGCTGGTGGTTTGGACAGAGAGTGCTCTAGTTGGACTTGAAGTGCTGCTCTCAAATGATCAGTTGGGGTGTTGTAGAATTTCATAGTTGACCGTGCCATTTACTGCCACTGGGACTAGAAAGCTTTTGTTCATTAAGACTTTTTACTCGAAAGAAACTCAAGATACCAAGGAAAACTACAGGCTTTTGTAAAATGTTGCCAAGCTTAGTTGTCAGCTGGTGAAATAGTGATTAGAAGTTTTAAACTTGAGGATGTTGTCTGCTGTACAAATTGTGCTCTCTACAGAATCATTTTTTACATTCAAAGCAAGTTTCAAATGTCTGTCGTCATATTTTATGATGTCATCACCGTAAAAATCCTTAAACAAAACCTGCAATTTGGGTAAAGTCATTCATTGCATTAAATGAGTTAGTCTTTTTTTTATTAAATCAACTTTAATGAATGAATAAATGTAATTTATGGTGCTGTGAGATTGCTGCTACACTGCCCCGTTAATACAGCATTAATATGTGCCTCATTTCTGAGCACCAAGCGGGAGAGCAAACTACACCGAGATGTTGTTTTTCAAAGGCTAAATGCCAACTAATACGGACAGAAGCAGAATATTTTGTTAGATAAAAACTTGTGTTTTGGAAATGATTGCCTGTCTTTTTTCATTAAATTTTAACTTTTGGACTTGGAAAAAGCTCTGGAGTCATTGGGATTGTTTGGATCTCATGAGTTGGAAACAATCCTACACAGCCACCACTGGAAACTAATTCTGCAAATAGTATAATACTAATAATATTAGTGTAGCCTTATCTTTATCTGCAACTGTGCAGGAAAAAGCTGCCCAGCATTCGAATGTTGTTTTGTGTTTGAATCTTAACATTATGAATGAAGCTCTAACAGATTGTAAAGCCCCTTGAGGCAAATTTGTGATTTGTGATATTGGACTATATAAATAAACTTGGCTCGACTTGATTTAATGTCATAGGCCTTTGTGTATATAAAGTGATGTTTCTAAAGTTTACAGAGTGCCAGATCCATAATCCATCACTTCAACATCTTTCCACAGGATGTGGTGTTCTGTACTCAAAGGCCTGATTAGATTCTCTCTCCACTTGTCTTCTCTCTTAATGATCTCTTATTAGATAAAAACTAATATGCTGCCCTGTGCTGTCATTCTGTTTTCTGAAGCAGCATAGGGTCATTGCATAATGTCTTTACTATAAGAAATTTAAAAAAAAGCCTATTTGTGTGTAACGGCACCAATTTCTATACCTCAACTCTTTCTATTGTAGATATAGAACTTTTAAACAGGGATCAATGCTCAGGCTGAAACCAAAGTTGTTTTCCTTATCCGTTTTTTCACTCATATTATTTCTACTTTTTAAAAAATTCCAAGTTCCTAGATTAAGTTACAATATTATAAAACAGAAAATAATCAAATTTGCATATTTGAGAAGGTGGACCCAGAGAATGGTGTTGTTGTTTTCTCTTGATATATTATTAAATTCAATGACCTCTTCATCATTAGTCACTGGTTTGATTGTCAGGAGGATTTAGTTTATTTTCTGTGTTGGATTTTTCAAGAGTGACCATGTTCAGTTTTATGTAAAATTTAATACTCTGGCACCACGTAGGCTTTGGGTGACAATTGGTCAAGCAGGGAGTGATTGCTCTTGATGTCTACTCTGTGTGTTTGTTTGTGTGTGGAAGGGTGTGAGCACGGAGAAGCTCATCCTCTGAATTAATCAGATGATGCATTTCAAGTGTTGGAGTCTGATTACAGCAGCACATCATCCCTATGTGACTGTTTCCTGGCTCATTCTCCGGGACGTGACATCAGGCACTCGCCTCTCAGCTTGAGACATAGAGAGGACAACAGGAGAACAGCAGCAGGTGCCCGCCCATGTGACAGATGATGCGTGTTGCATTTCGTGCCACCTGCATGTGATGTCAAAGTCAGTGGCGTGTCGCATCCTTTGTGTAGCAAGAGTAGTAGTGGTGTGCTTTTCAGTCAGTGTTAGTGTTCGTGCCGGCTCTCTGGCAGAGACGGGCAGTAACACCGACAGACCTTCTGTCAGCTTAAGTGGTGACTTGCATTGACACAGACCGATGGCACTAACAATCCATAGCAACACAAGAATTTAATGGTGTTAAATGATTTGACAATACCTAATGAGATTATTTAGCTGTAACACAATGGCTGCACAGCCTCTTCCTTGTAGTTATGCAGCTATGTCTTTGTAATTCCAGCCCTGATATGTTTGTCATATTGCTGAGGCAACAGCAGTCATTGTTGCCCAAACTGTCACATGGAAACACACATTCACAGATCTTTTGAGTCCTACAGGAAGGCCAACATAAACCACATCTCACTAAAAGTCTAATGGAACACACCACCTGAGACCAGTGTAAAGACCAGCCTCCCTCATGAAGTATTGATGGTAATTGGCCCAAAGGGAGAAGTGGAAATATTGAGTTTTTGAGAAATGAATCACTTTTGCCAGAGCCTCAGTCATGAAGGACAAATGAGATTTGGTGATCGTGTTCAGCTATGAGATCCTGGAAATGGGATTTGTGCTTAGGTATGGTGGGAATAAGATTTGAAGGATATGATTTAAAAGGCAGTTCTGGATCTGTGCTGAACACTCTTTGTGCTTGCAGCAAGGTGGCAGGGCTGTTTTCAGCCATGTGTTGGTATTTCTGTTTCTTAGTTACAGTATGTAACCAAAACCGTTCTTATATGATCTTTGGACAGTGTCTGGAGAATCAGGAGTTTCCCTTTCACACACGTAGGACACAACAGAAGGCTGTCTGTGTCAGAAGTGTTCTTGCCTACCTGCCTGGTTAGAGCGTAGAGTCGTCAGGAAATGACCTGGGTTAACAGCCCTGTGATGCAAATTGTGATTTGTGATATTGGGCTTTATAAATAAAATTGATTGAACACCAAGGTCACGTATCCAATTTGTAATTTGTTCATAAATGACGCAGTCTGTTGCTGTTCTTGAATTTGTCTGACAATTTCGGCTTCTGCCCTTACCTACTGAAGCTCCTGAATCTCGCCATCTATCCAGTTAGGCATTTTTGTTGCAGTCTTCGTGGGAATGACTCTTCTTCTTCACCCTTGGATGTTTGTTTTCTTCTGGTACCGTCCGAGCTGAAAATGTCATCAACACATCACACATGGACTCAGTCCGACACTACACAGACTTTGTACCATGGAGCTGGCAAAGTAAAGTCTGATCAAACTGATTTGTACATTTGCATTCTCACGTACATCTCCCTCAGGTGATGTCTAGATCATTTCAAGTTTGCAGTGCATTTGTGAAAGGAGCTTGAGAAACGCATTCATGATTAGACACACAATCCATCTGAATTGACAAGAAGATGACTCTGTCTCAGCGGTAGATGAGAACCCCTGATAACTGGAGTAGAAGCCAAATGTGTTCTAATCTGGCACCTGCTTTGCTCTCCTCTCCTCCAACGACGGGTTATGGTGTCCTTGCACTGACTGTGCAATCAGTCTTTGTCCACCCCACCCCCTCTTTCAATCTCCCTTCTCTCCCCCCCATTCTTTTTTTCTGCCGTCTGTGCATGCACAGTGCCGGGCATTTCGCCAGGATCTCCTCAAGCCCTCCTTAAAGCCCAACTCCCATCGAGCTGTCCCCATATTTCGAACTCATCCATCATTTAGTTGCATATAGAGACTGTTAAATTCAGAGTGTAGTTGTGTAACATGAGAAGGGCAGTGATTATGTTGCTGAACAATCAGTAAGATGATTTATGTTCATAGCATTCCCATTGGGATTGGACAGAAATGCTGGTGGATGGTAGTTTTTGCTCTTTCAGATACTGAATGTTCCCTCATTATTCAAAAACTGAATAGGCCGTAATGGAGAATTTATCAAGATACACTGAACCCATTGCACTGGCTGTAGACGACAGACTTGGCTTTGCACAATATGCTTGGCTCTCAATTTTATCCTTACATGTTGTCTGTTTCTCTCCCCACCTCTTCTCCGGATTACTTCTATCTTGTCCCATTGGAGATAAAACTGACTTCTCCCCGACTTGGTGGGGAGCAGGATTACTGTCCTAACAGAAAAGGCCCATGGCATCTATTACAGTGACGGCGGGTGCCCAGGGCCTCATAAGAGCCAACACTGTCTGTCATGCTATTGCTAGGCTGCGACACTTCATCTCAACTTTCCACTGAGCTGATTCAGGCCTCCACTCTGTATTGTCAAGGAGATAACCGTAGGCTCACACAAACCCGAGGAATGTGTGCTCCCTGCATGAAGGAGTAAAGCAGCTGGTTTTGGACAGCCTACAAGCCAAACAAGGTATTGTTAGGGTGCTCCATTTTTATTTGTTGTCTTGGATGGGGGCCCTTGAAGTAGTGAGGGGGAAAATGGGCGGAGACAGCAAAATGTGTACTTTGACTGCATTTTGTTTGTAGGATGAGCTTACTGCAGCAGGGATAAAGTGTACCTCCTGGCCAAGCCCTCTCCTTTCTCTTTGGCGTGATTAAAACAGAATAATTTAATCTACAGGAGTGGGTATGCCAAGGGAGTTCAGCCTCCCAGCTGTGTTTTTGGAAGGAACAAGAGTAAAGAGGGAACCATGGATGAATGGATGGAAGTAGGTGTGGCATCAGAAACCCCCTTGGCTCCTGTTTACACTTTGGTTTTTAGCCAAACAGATGTTGCAGCTGTTCAGCGTGTTAAAATACCATGGGTGTGTTGTTTGCATCTGTCGCAAACATTTGGGAATATTGTCTGCAAAACAAAGAGAGTGCATGAGTGACTCCCTCTGCTGACCTTTGCCCCTAAAAGGACCTTGTGTTTGGTCATTAACATCCTGTAGATGGCTGTGTAGTGCCTCTCATTCTCCCTTTGGACTTTTATTTGTATTGATTTCAACCCTCTGTTGGCAGGCAGTGTAATCCATACTAATACACCAACAACAGAACCACCAGCAATCAGCCACCACCCACAGGCAGTGTGTGGAGTACATGCATTAGTGGATCTGCATGTTCTTCTCTGTGCTGTCCCTCTAGATCAAACCTTTTATGAGTTTTGACTCATCATAAAATAATAGAGGGTGGGGTTGGGGCTATATTGTGTCTATGACCGACCCCCCCCCCACCCTCTTTATTCCCATCCCTTAACTCTCATCTTCATTTATGTCTCGCAGTCTCATTTCATCCTTCAGTCTCACTCAGTCTCACTTTTCCCAGCTCAATTATGTCTGCCTTGATTCCTGCTATAATTGAGTGATTCTGTCAGTTCATATTTTGCTTGTCTGCAGGATTGGATATAAAAATGGCCCCAGTTAATGCACCTTTTTCTACCTTTCCCCTCATTCTGTTATTGTTTTTCTGCTTAAAAGTACAGACCCGTGCCCTTCTCTCCCGTCTTGTGTGTCTCCTTGTTTATTTTTCGCTTCTTGTTCATCGTTACCCAACATTCACTCAGGGCAGATTTCATCTCTGTGTCTGACACACTTCCCAGTGCTTTGGCTGGACTTCGCATTACAACCCAAATCTTCTGTCTGATAGCAGCCAATTACAATACCCCTATGAGTCCATGTCTGTGCAGTGGTTGTCTGATCCTGGGGAAACAAATGGTCATTGTAATGGTTATTGTGATGTGGGAGCGGCATCTGTGTGCAGGCATGCTGCTCCGCTGAAAGCCATCTAAGTCAATGTGTCTCTGTCAGTTCATGTCTACATCATCTACCATGTCGGCAGACCAAGTCCAAAAGAAGACGTAATGGAGGTTGTCGTAATTGGCGATGGGGTCGCACAGTTCTTTAAGGCAGTTACATTTGATTACGCAGCTCTTGGTTGTTGTGCAAAGACTCAGTTTTATTAAAAACAGATGTCGACTTGTACGAATTATGAACAGTGCTGAGGTTTTGCATAGTTTTTGCACACCAGGGTTTAAGTGTAGAAGCTAGTACTGCCTGTGGGTGACATCTAGCTCATTTAAACGACTGACTTTGTAGGTTTGCCAATGCAGCAGTGCATTGTAGCACAGACTACGTTAAATTCTTGGAGCCTGACAAAACAAATGTATTGTGAAGAGATTTCACAGAGCCCAATATAGCACAGCATAAGCAACATTCAGATTTTTATGTAGGTTACTGCTGCTCATATTACTGCACTTTTTAGTCTGATGCACAGATGTCACTGACAAATTTGCTTCCGCTGATCAAACTGTATCCTATAACAGGGTGCTGGCATGTGGAAATACTTCTTAATTGATCACTTCAGTTGATCTCAGAGCAGGACTGTTTGAAGAAAAGGATTTGGCCCTTAGTAAGGCTCTGAAAAACATAACTGAATAATACCGCAAAGTAGTCCTGCCTCTAACATAAGATACCTACAACTTTATTACATGCTCTACATTGCTTAATACTATGAAGACACTGGCTCTCAATTTAAAAGGTTGGCAACCTCCATATGATGGGTTGCTCAGAAGTATCAAATTTGAGGTTCAGAATATTTTATTGAGTAACACTTGAAAATGTTGAATAAGGACTTGGATAGGGTTCAAGTTTTGATATTTCCAAAAGTGTTTTCCTTTGTGGCTGTGATTGTGTCAGTCAGCTGAGCCCATGTGTATCATATATCTAACAAGCAGATTTGAATTGGAATGCCCAGTCAGTAATTAATGAAATGTAGCAGAAACAGCAGACATGGGTTGGGGGTCTAAAATTTGGCAGGAGGATCAGTTTTAGTCAGGTATGTTTAAAACAATAAAAAGACTTGGGATTGCTGCGCTGTTCACACTTCATAACTTTCTGTCTTGTAATCAAGTTTTGAAGTTGTTGTGGTCATTACATGTCACTACATGCCAGCAACAGGGGTCACACACTACAGGATGCTTCACCTGCAGGAATCCCAAATGAGTGTCATGTGATGTGCAGGTTGAACCAGGGGTGGGTGCATGCTAGAATATATCAAATTCAAAAAGTGACAAAGCGGGGCGCTCAGTAGCTCAGCGGGTAGAGTGGACGTCCCATATAACTTACAGAAACATTGCATGCAATGCTCCGCCTTCTCTTGCCCCATCTTTGTCACTTTCTCTTTCTCCCTTTCAAGCACACATGTGCACACCATGAAAAGCGCTGCAGCACCGCTTGTCTGTCTTCACCCCGTGTCTTGCACTCTCAGTGGCTGTAGCTCACTGACAAAGTCCTCGACAGGTCCAGATATTTAGCATGCTAGATATCTGGGGAGCATCTGCGACCCTTTTGGCTCTAGTTTTTGAACAATATACAGAGTGCTCAAGCGCTGAGCCAACGCCGATGTGCCTTTGATCTAAGGCTTTTGTTGGGGAGCTGCAAAACTGTCAGCAAGCGTAAACTCAGGGTGTCATGTAGTGTGAACAAGGCTTAATGGATTGAGTCTCCAAGAGGCAGAGTGGTGTCTTCAGAGTGTTCTTTTCTGCCAATTTTGACATTTAGATGGGTTTTAACTTGCTAAGTGAATCAACATAATGTTAGGTTTACTGTAGGTGTTGTAGACCATAGTGTGTTTGTTCTGAAGGCAGAGCACATATTGAATCTTTCCTCTTGTCTAGGAGAGGAGCTTAATGGAAGAAGAGAGGAAGTGGGGAAAGGAGTTTTGGCTTGTTGTAGTGATTGAGTGGATTAGTGCAGTGTCACATAAGAACTCTTCCTGACTGAGTAGTAGACCAGGAGCTTAAAACAGGATTGATTTGAAGACTGTTTTCTTCCCTCCTTCCCCACCTGCTGTATGGGTTCTTAACTTTTATGCCCCTCTCTCCTTCTCCTCCTCTTTTTAACCAAATTTTTCCACTGTCCTTGATTTTCTCCCTCTTTGGTTTGGCTGCTTTCCCTCTTTTTGTTACTCTCATCTTTTTTCTGCTCACCATACAGCTCTTAATTCGATACCCTCTGCTCCTGTCACTGTTAGTTGCCTCAGCTCTCATCTCGTCTATCTCTGCATTACCTATTTTCTTTGTCATTCTTCTCCTATTCAAGCTTCCATTTCCCTTCCATCTTTTTATTTTATTCCTGTCATCCTCCTTCTCGTTACACCCTGTCCTTGTCTCATGGAAGTGATTGGAGAATAAAGGCAACCTTACAGTGTGGCACTAGATGGATGGTGCTGCGATAATGGGTTCCTGTTGAAATTGCTATTGTGGTTTACATTAAGGCAGGTCATTTATTTATGCTTGTAAATGCATGTAGAGGCAGAGCATCTGGTTTCATGTTTGGAGCTTAGCCAACAAAATGAATGGACCGCAAAAATTGAGCTGCCAGAACTTGTTTTTGTTGTTGAGCTTTTTTTGCCACTTGAGCATGTTTGTTTGTCCTCCTTCAGGCCTGCTACAGGTCCCTCAACATCTCGACCTGCATCTGCTGCAGCAAGGCCCGCCTCAGCTACAGTCAAGCCCTCCACCACTGCAAGCACCAAAACCTCTGCTTCTAGAGTTACCACAGCACCCTCTACTGGCAGGACCACAGCAGCACAGCCTCCCAGAACTGCTGCTCCTAAGAAAGGTAAGGCGTTACTGCTTCTAAACTGGAGGAGACAGTTCTCTGAAGCCATGTCCTATTTTCATTTGAATTGCATAAACACATCTTATTGTTTTGGTTAGACAGTTTCAAGTTGTTAGCCTGAAATGTCTGTAACAAAGTAGCATGAAGTGGTTGACTTAAGCACCAGCAAACAGGGTAAAATGACATTTGCTGTTTTTCTCTGTGCACCAGATGTCAGTCGCCCACCTTCTGCTGCAGTGGCAAAGAAACCTACAACAGCTACAACATCCACTGCCACCAAAAAACCTGAACCCTCTCGACCCATGGCCGCCGTAAAGTTCAGCTCTGCCTCCAAATCCTCCACAACAGCGAAGGCAGCAGACCCCAAGGTGTCACAGCCCAAAACTCCCACACCTGCGAAATCAACTCCCACAAGGAAACCTGTAGCTGCTGTTCCGTCTGTTGCCCGTAACAAACAGCCCCTTGGTCGAACCCCGCCTGCCTCTCCAGCCAACAGACCTGCTAACAGCAGCACCCCTCAGGCAAAACGTGGAACCAAACCCACACAGGCTGTCCCACCTTTCACTACTGGCAAGAAGACAGGGGTCTCAAATACGACCAAGCCTGCTGTAGAAGCACAGATTGCTGCTGGTGCAGCAGTAGTAGCTGCCACAGCAGTGACTGTGCTGGCAGAAATGGGCGCTTCAGAGTCCTTCCCACAAGTACCATCCCCTGCTGCCCCTGCACCAGAAGAGGTCCCTCCCTCAGTCGTGGCCCAGGAAACCAAGTCTCAAGAGACTGCTCAAACACATGCTGCTGCTTCATCTCCTCCACAAAGCCCTGTTAGGACAGCCGTACCCCAAACATCTCCACCCCAGGAGGCGGTAGAAAGCAGTGCTTCCTTACTAACCACGCAGGAGCCGACCCCTGCCCCAGCTGAGCCTACATTACCACCAGTGGCCTCTCCTCCAGATATATCAGAGGAGCCTGTTTACCTGTTAACAGACCAAGCCTCCTCCACATCTACAGCCCTCCCAGCAGCGACAAATGCCATCCCTCTGGCAGTTTCTCCTACCAATTTAAATGAGGAGGAGGATGAAGAGGAGAGGGAGGGAAGCCAGTTGGTTTCTGTGTCTGAAATGAGTGGAACCACACAGCCCACAGAGGAGTCTCGTCCTGGGTCGGCGGGACCAGCAGGAGGGTCTGCTTGGAGGGCTGGTGGCGCCTTGCTTTCTGAGCTGGACTCTGAGGAAGTAAGCGGCAGCCAGCAGGGTGCGTCTGAGCTGAGTGCCCCTGGTGTACTGGAGGGCACAGAGAGCATGGACGATCTGGGAGACGGCAGTCTCAAAGGAGCCATTGACATGGAAGGAGCCTCAGCTGGTTCACCTGACTTTGAAAAAGTTCCTGACATACCAGTGAATGACTTTGATGAGGACGATGATGAGGACGATGATGATGATCGGGTGTGTGACATGGATGTGGGCTCAGAGCGGGCAGATGAACCGCAGAGACCCAGGCATGACAATGATGTGGATGATGATGAGGAGGATGAAGATGTGGAGATGGCTAGTGAGGGGGTGACAGAGAGTGGGCTGGAAAGCTATGGGAATGCAGATGAGGACGACTTTGCTGAGGATGAAAGGTTGGACAACTTGAACAGAGTGGCTCAGCCCCCACCTCCCCCTCCTGTGCTGCCCTCTGCCCCAGCTGCTCAGTGGGACCAACCAAACCCCTTTGCTGATCCTTGGGCAGAACCTCTGCAGCCACAGCAGGTTCTTGAGCACATCCCCCAGCCTGCACAGGTGGCAGGAGCGGCTGCAGCTAGTCCTTTGGCAGACCCCTGGCAAGCAGACACTGAGACTCCAACTCAGTCCCCAGCCCAAGCTTGGCTAGAACTAGGCTCTGCTTCTTTTATTCCTGAAAACCAAGAAGTTCCCCATCATTCCTTTGTCAAAGATGAGCCACAAAATCTAGAGGCCCAAATGTACATGGACCAGTCCAGCCCAGCCCCAGTGCAGACCCTCGTCCCAGCTCTCCTCTCTGCCCCAGGAATGTCTCTTTCAAGCACCCTGAGCAGCGAGACCAGCACGCCAGAGGAACTCTATGACTACAATCAAGACGGGAGGCTGCAGCCTCAAGATGTGCAAGCCCAGATGCTTTCCCCACAGCCTGACCTGGACTACCAGGACATGGGCATGTACTCAGAGAGAGGAGACGGGGAAGGAGAGGAGGAAGCTGAGGCTGAGACGCTGCCCGCTGATGAAGTCCTGGGTGGCCCTGCAACTGCCCCCACTTCCAACCCCTCCTCATCCTCAGTAACAGAAGACGAGGCCAGCGACACAGAGGGAGAGGCTCAGTTGGATGACTCCTTGGAGACTCCAGCAGTCTGTCAGACAACCTTTGACACGCAGCCTTCAGCCCAGCGCTGCCTGTCCACCGTGGAAGAGGGAGAGGAAGCTGACATGGAGGAGGTGATAGGTGGCGCAGGCGAAGACACCACACCACCTTCAGCTACATCGTTGGCGTCATACGGCTTTGACACCATGACCACAGCTTCAAACTCCAACGCCCACTCCACAGGGGAGAGCTGTATCAAGAGCCCTGGAATCTTCTCCCTGGAGGAGCTGCCCGAGGAGGCTAAGGAGCCCTTTCTCATCCCGCAACCTCACACCGAGCCATGCACTGCAGAGCAGCAGTACATCGAATGCGGGAAGCAGGAAGCGGAGCCCGCTGAGCATGTCAAGGAGGAAGCACCAGGGCCTGAGGAAGCCCTGGACCCCTCGTCAACTCTAAGCACTTTGCAGCAACCTGAGGAAAACCCAGATGACATCCAGCCTCCCTACTATTCTGCTATCTGTGAAAAGACTGAGAACTCTTTTGCAGGTAATGTATAGCTCATCCTCTCCCTAAGAGTCCAAGTAATGTCCCTTAACGCCCTCTGGCCCCGCTCCAACCTCCCCCACAATATCTCTGTTGTAGCTCTTGTCGTCAGTGTTTGTCCTGAAATCTCTGGGGGTGGACGTAATCAAAGTTAAATAAACAAACAAAAAAACAGAGAGCAAAAAAAGGGAAGAAATAAAAAGAGGATGGCAGTGGCACTTCCCTCTGATATCAAATTTCCATGATGAGTATATGGCTTAAATTCCTGTATGTGCAATAGCTACTACTATTTACTCCTAATGTGTGAGCGTGCCTGGGTTTTTGGTTTCTGTTTTCTGTTTTATTTAACACAGAATTATGTGGTTGCCCTGAACTGGCATGGATTTGACTTGTCTGTTTACAGCTGTTAAAGAGGGAAAACAAGAAAATTAAGCCTAACAACAAAAGAAATGTGTAATGAACTGTGTAACATGTTTTTCATGTGTATTTATCCTAATACTTTTTACTGAACAAACCTGGCAACTGACAATGAGTTTTGATTGTATAATCCTGTTGGATTTCACTCTCCTACCGTACGATACATTCAATCGTCCTTATCCCCAATCACTCCTTATCTCTCTTTCTTCTCGCACTTTAAAATGTACCCCAGCTTTTTCTTGTGTTTATCCATCTTTTGGAGTAATGAACCTTAAAACTTTAAATAAAGATTAGATTTTTACCATGACGTACTCTCTCAGCGGACAGTTTTATTGAAGTGGGCGCTTGGGAGTGGCGTAATTATGGTCTGTGGATCTGTGTCCCAGAGAAGTCATCCAACACTAGGGACATTCATTTCAAGGTCTTACAAACTTTCAGTTAATTACTACTGGCTCTACACATCTCAGTATATTGCAGCAGATTTCACTTAGCCAACCATGTAGCCTTCAACCTACACCTTTCTCTTGCCATACAGTCAAAGTGACACACACACACACACACACACACACACACATTGTGGCCTTTCCCTTGAAAACTGGACACGATGAACAGGAACGTACGCCTTTCAGAGACTTCACTGGTCTGAAAATCTGCCATGAGTTGATCGTCCACACCACCAGACCTTCTCATCCATGGGTCAACTTTGGCATCTCAAGCAGCAAAAGAAGTCTGACATCATCCAGTCTCAAGAGCCCACTCATTCTGCTTTAATATCGCTCCAGTCCACTGTGGGTGTGTTGCTGTTTTAGCTCTTTTCTACTACCTTTTTTTAATAGCATTCTTGCTGCACTGTTCTACAGCACTGTATTAATGTTAACTTATGCTTATGCATGTCACTGTTGCACAATGACTTGACTTTCATTACGTTACTTTGGATTGGTTTGTTCAGGGTCAGCCAAATAGCTTGGCTCTAGGACTTGATGTACTGGAATAATGTCTAGCCTTCACTTCTAAAGCCAAGCTATTTTAGTTTTTTCTTGTGATGCTGGATGTCTATAAATGCATGGAGAGCTTTTGCATGCATCACCGGTTGACTAACTTTAAACTTCATTCACAGGTGATGACGGTTTAAGCTCGCAATGTGCTTTTCTGTGGTTGTTTATGTCTCACCATAATTGATAGTGATTGCATATACAGGAAGATGGCTGCTTTTTTTTGCTCACATAAATCTTTCTTTTCTGGGTGTCATTTTTTTTTTTTTAAAAAGATGTACTTAAAAAAAAGAGTTTGCTCTCTGCACAAATTTCTCTACCCTCGCCCTGCCACCACCCCCAGTCACTTCACCTAGGGTCACCATTTTCTGATGTGTTCACTGTTTTTACACAAATACTACGGCTCCACCCCACTGAATATTTAACAAGCTGTATCTGTCACTGCTGCACAGCTTTCAGACAATGTCCCACTGTCACTTGTTCAAAGTACAAAACCACAAATGATTGCCGGTCAGTTTGGTGCTGTAGGCTACTGGCAGACCTTTGAGCTTGGCTTCACAATGCTTCCACTATTCCTTTGGCAAGTATGAGCCTCTGAAGGCCACCCCACACCCCCCTTTCCCTCTACACCCTTCTGCTTGTACTCACACTGCACTGCTGTCACTGTCCTGCTGCCTGTGACCTGTTTTATAACATCACGCTACTGTAATCTTCCTTCCCACTTCCTCTCACACACAGGCTTCACTGCACTACCGCACCCTCACCGCCGCGATCACTCTGCATACCCCAGAACCTACTGCGACATCGTCAAACCTCTCGTCGCTGCCGTCGCCCCACCGAAGCTGACCTGTGCCGACCTTCCGCCCAGGAACCTCGGCCAGCAGGCGCTGAGCCCCCAGCTCCGCCGGCTGGAGCAGCACCAGAGACAGCTGCAGCAGATGCAGCAACGCAGACAGCAACAGAGCCAACCGCTTGAGGAGGCGGAGCAGGAGAGGAAAAGGAGGGAGGAAGAGGAGCAGAGGAGGAAGAAGGAGGAGGCCGAAGAAGAAATAAAAAGGAATAAGGAGGAGGTGGAGAGGAAGGTCCGAGAGCAGGCAGAGGTGAAGAAGAAGGAAGAGGAGGAGGAGCAGAGGAGAGACCTTGAACTACAGCTGCAGCAGCAACAGCAGGAACTGAAGGAAAGGCAGCAAATCATACAGTGGCAACAAGAACTGCAACAGTCCAATAAAGGTCAGACAGTGCTGCTGTCCCCTTCCTCTGGCCTCTGCACCATCTATGAGGCCCTGGAGAATAGTGATGACGATGAGGCTGAAGATGAAGAGGAGGGAATAAAGGAGCTCGCTAAAGAGAAGGACGAGCTCAGACAGGAGACGTCAAATGAAGAGTTGGATGACTGTGAACAGGTGATATCAGATGGAGACAAACATCAAGACTCTTCGCCGTCCACCGAGAGTCCTCCTCCTCTCCGAGACTCCCCTCAGACATCCAGCAACCCCTCCCAAGATGGAGACAGCTCCTCCCCTTGCCCTCCCGAGTCTCCAGAGCGGCCCCCACCCCTGGACCTGGACTGGGGGAAGAAAGTGGACATAGTCCAGCAGCTGATCAATCAGACACTGCTGCTGAACAGAGATGGATGCTCCTCTCTGCTGCTTCTACCGGGGGGCGCAGGAGGTACACTGAGCCCCCTGGAGAGCAGCCTGTGGCCCAGCCTGCTGCCTCCACTCACCCCTCCCTCTGCCACCGTCACCTCTGTCAGTAGTTTCTCCCCAGAGGCCACTGGGAGCTCCCCACAGGGAGAATGGACAGTGGTAGAGCTGGAGACACATCACTGAGGGATTTCACTCACACACACCGAGTACAACATCTGTTAAACATCAACACTCATACAGGGAAGATGACACAAGTGCTGTCTGTTTGTGCGCACACACACACACACGATAATTCACAACAAAGGCACACAGCAAATAAGGTGATGGACACATGTATGCAGAGCAGCCCACATTTGCTGTGCTATTATTATACACAGTGAAGCAACGTTATTAAACAGCTGTACAGACTGAGGTAAATCTTGTGGGGAACAATGCAATAGCTAGGAGTAGTTCTTAGATATTGATACACATCAGAATATCTCCTCAAGAAGATAAACTACATCACATTGTTGATGCTCGTGTCATTCCCAAGTATTTTACAAAGATAAACTGAGAGAAGTTGAGTAAAATCCATGATAGGATCAAAAAGATGGACAATAAACCATACTTATACACTGCCCAGCCCTGGAGGTCCAACCACACACTTTTGGTGCTGTAGATCAGTGGTTCCCAACCAACAAGGGTATTTTATTTTTCAAGCTTTTCTCTAATCTGTCCCTTTTAAACTACTGAAACTACCTATTAGGCCTAAGCACTCAAATGTAGCAATCTGAGGAAGGAATAATTAGTCATAAGTAGATCTGGTCACAACCTATAGACAGATCCAACGTGTTTGGGGCCATATCGTAAAAAGGTTGGGAACCACTGCTGTAGATTAATTTGAGAGAGGCAGGGATTTCTAACTGTACTGTAAAAACAAAGCACAGAAAACACAGATCAGTTCAGTTGATTGCAGTTTATCCAAGCATTTGCTGTTAAGTCATGCAAAAAAAGGCAGAAGAAAACACATGGTTGAAAATTCTTGCCCTGAATCAAGACTCTCAGGTAGTGCTTACTTTAGGTGAGCTACCACTCCCAACAAACTAAATGGTTAGATTTAGTACATAGAAAGTTGAAAATTGGATTAAGGTCAAGGTAAGTCAAGTCAGTAAAGCGGGTCCTATGTGTATGTAGACCAGCAGCAGGGGCGGGGTTTTAAGTTCTCCCATTCTGTTTATTCAGGTAAAACGTTCTGCATGCAACCTCAATACTGTACCAACTGAACCAACTGAACTGTATCAAGAATAGTCAAGTGTTTAGTCATATTCTTCGGCATGGGTACTTATTCTTTAATCAGATTTGTCCTGATTTAAAAACAAACGTCAGACTAGCTTTTAATTTAATGCTGATGTACTGAGTAGTTTAATATATTTTGGCAAATTAAATGAACATTTCTGTTCCCCAAATTAACACATTGTAGAAGCAATGACATTGAAACCCAGGCCTAGTTTTTAATTAATTTATTTTTAGTTGGCCTTAAAGCACAATTTTAGTATACTGTGTGTACAATAAACATACTGGAATCTACCTGTACCTGTACAAGGTAAAACTTTCATCTTATAAAGTAAACTACCTCCAGGTTGCTAAAACTCCCAAATTTACACCAAACAAAATGACCAAGGACACGTCCTCAGTGGTAGCTATGACGCTGCCTGAAACAGAGTCTGTACTCAGGGCAAGAAAGTCTCCGACGCTGCCAGCGAAGAACCCGTGTCTCATCTCAAGTCAACCAACACGACACCACACTGAAACTCAGCACCTCTGTCACGTCACACTCGACATCCTACACCACTGAAAACACAAACTTAACACTGACTATAACATTACATTTCAGTCCTTTAAACACACACACCTGAAACCATGTGATTTCTGACAGAAGCCCATGATGCGTCACTGCAACTGACTAACAGGGTTGAAACAGGACACTTTTCATTATGCCAAATCTTTGTGCCATGGGTGGCCACATCCACACACACACACTCACACACACCGACGGTGCCAAATGGCCTCTATCAATCGAAGGTAACTTGACTGATAGGTTTGGTTGTTAAACTTTGTGTTCCTCACCTGCAGCCCTTTTAATTGAAGCCATAACTGTTGATACACACATATCGCTGTCACCTTATTTTAATATGAGAATACACTGGAGATGTCCTTCTACTGAATGGTGATAAAAGACACTGAGTCCCAGATTTCTGAGATTGCACTTCAGTCTTGTATCGATTTAAGTATGAATTTGTTTGCAAACTGAGATCAAAAACAGGTATTGATTACAGATGAGGCGGATCATCACATTTCACTACCCGATCTCAGTCTGAGCTGTTTGGATCTCACTGCTCTTCACCAAAGGTCAGAGTTACGTGTAAGCTTTTCCCTTTGAAACACTGGAGTCAGGCACTAATGAGGTTTTAGATAAGTGCATGTATTTTGTGACGAGATGAGATTTCGTCAGTTAAATGAAACAGCCGAAGCTAGTTTCTACAGAAATTGCCTTTTATGGACACTGGTTCTGTAGCCACGTATTAACTCCTTCCATATGTTAAGTCTTCCTTAGGTTCTTAAGCTCACATCTTAATGACGGTATTTCAGTCACAGACTACACACAGATGATGTCTGGTTATTACATAAGGCCTTCTACACTAGTGCAGTACACAGAATTTACTTTAGCGACTGACTCTAGGGTTTAACCGATACTGCTGTGAAGGTCAGGGGTCACGTTATTGTGTGACACGAGGAAGAGGCAGGGGTTCGATATCAGGTTATTCTGGGTCTCTACTGTGTATTGTTGTTGAAACTGTGATGAGCTACGGTATGGAAGTGTGTGTCGTAAATGTTCATATCTGTGCTGTGTGTGGTCTGGATACTGTGTGTGTGTGTCAGTCAATGTTTAAATATATCACAGGTTTAAATATGAGGGGATTTCTGGGACAAATTCAGTTTCCTGTAGTGCAAAGCGAAATAATGGGCACAGAAATGCTCGCAGAAAAATTTGACATTTATTTCCACTTGAATCACTTTTTGTTTTCAGTCAGTTTTTGGCTTGCTGCCCTGCTCTCCAATGTCAAATAGCATAAAAGACTGATTTTGTTTCATTATTAAATTGAAAGCAGTGCTGCAATTATCGCTTTACAACCTTAATTGACTCTTAAGACTCTCACTCTGTTGATTCCAGCAAAAATATTTCTCATTCACCATCACCTGCTAATCTTTCCACTCTCTTATCAAGGCCTATGTGTAGCAGCTGAGAAGCAAGCAGGTGTTTGCGCTTTCATATTTTTGCTTTCCCGTCCTCCAGGCAGGACGCGTGACGCTCACTGTATTTTTGACAAAGCTGGACTTTTTAAATGTGCTTTCTGAAACATGTCTGTGTAGTGTTTTTGTAAGCATTTGTGTGTATACTGTTTAAAGACTGCTCACTGTAATGAAGGGAAACTCCACTTTACTTTTGTACTTTAGAGATTTAGAAGCATAGTAGCCCTTTAAGGGTCATATATAGATTTTTATGGAATAGAGAATAAAGGATGATGGTTGTAAATGGTAGATTTTATTCTTTGTTTTATGATCTTCTTCATGTCCCATCAACAGAGCTGATGAGCTGAATGATCACAAGGTCAAACTGAACACAGTAGAGTGAACTACGAGTTAACGCATTGCTTCTGTAGGCTCAAAGTTATTACAACTCACATTGAAGATATTAATTTATTAAAACTGAAGTGAGGTCTTTGAGTAGTGATTTAAAAGGCTTGATGAATCTGTTGAAGTGAAGTACATGGGCACTCCTGCTCGTGGAGTCCGAACCTTGGCAGCTTGTTTTAAAGTTTTTCTTTATTATTTGGACTTTCTGAAAGACATAAATCTGTGATTGTGTATAATTATTTCAATGCCACATTTTGTGTAAATAAAATGTCTTTTTAATAACGTTTCTGGACTTCTTTATAACACAAGAAAAGGCTCTTAAAAACTGTTGTAAAAAATGTAAACATTAACATTATTTAAAATCTCTTATAAAGTCTTTAACAACATACTGAACAAAGTGACAAGAGTGTGCAGCAAACATCAGAGGTAAACACACTCCACACAGTAAACGGCATAAAACTATTTTTACATAACTTCAATATAAAGCTTTGTTTTTTAGAAACCACGAATGGTCATAGCAGATTATAAGAACAGAGGCCTCTTCAGCTTTAAAAGTGGAAAAACCAACAGGTCCTGAACGCATCATGTTACTCTGGCTAAAAGTGTCACAACATTTACAGTCATGTGATGTGCTTGTGATTTCAGCTCTGGTGTTTCTGCTCAGACATCAAGACGCATATGACGCCAGATGTTCAACCTTTAGAATCACCCATAAACTCAGCGATACAAATTTACTTTAAGGGATTATTTGGATCCTCTGAAGTAAGATTGCGTGATGTACTTTATCATAGTCAGTGTATTACATACAGAAGATTTAAGTCGGCACACCCCCAGTTTGGAGAAGCAGGCTGGAGTCTGACACAGAAGCTAAGCAATGTACTGCTGTGGTGAGGTCAGCAGCAAAGCACGTTTCAGTCACCTCAAAAAAGTTCCACCTATAAAAATCAATATTGGTTAAATTCAACACTATATTTAGTATATTTTAATATCTTTTCATTTCTGTCACACAGCAATTTCCGAAGGGGAACTGAAGCGGTTACATTGCCCTCTTCAAGGCCAGACTTAATTGAGAAAAACATTGATTTTACATCCCTGAACAAAGGAGCTGCTGGTCTGCTGTTGCAATCAGTTATTTTTTCTTTGTTGCTGTGTGACTTTGGGTTCAGATTCACAGACGCCACACAATAACACAAACTATGGAAGTGATAGAGGCAGCAGCAGACCAGCAGTTCCCATGTTAGAGAGCCAAAATAATAGTTTTGAAGAGAGCATGGATGGGGGACTGAAGCCATTAACAGCTTCCACCTTGGAACAGGAAGTGTGACGTAAAGGTAGGGCAGTGAAAATATTTTCAATGTAGCACACACATAAACTGTTGTAGATTTTTTTAGGTGGGCGTTTTGTTAGTTGGCTAAAATGCATTTTGCTGCTGCAATGCTGACAGACATCTCCTGTATGTAATACACTGGCTATGGATAAGAACTCCATACAACCTAACTTCAAAAGATCCGAAATATCCCTTTAAGAATTAGCCTGAGGATTTATCAGCACCTTCCTGTTTGTTCTAAACTGGTCCAATCTCTTTACACATGCTGTTTATTCTACGATCCCAGGCATGGATGACGTGTGTGTGCTAATACATCACTCTGTTGTGTGTTGTGACAGCAGCAGCTGATACAGGTAGTCTGTAGCATTGCAGCTAGACGGCTCATTGCTGCCCAGAAACAACAGCCTGTGATAGTCAGCCTCAGGAACGTCACACAAGATCCTGAAACAAAACAGGAACACACACCTATATAAGTTTTAATGCGTGATATGCTTTGCTGTTGCTAGATCTTTCAGTTTCCCCCAAAGACAACTGAGCATTGAATAATCTCCTAAAGTAAAAGCAGCTGCAGAGCAGTGAATGAAGAAATGTAAATCAGTATACCAGTCACAGATGTCGTCAGTGTCGGGGTTCACCTGCACCCACTGACCGATGGACCACATCCTCACCACGCTGCCAGGAGAGGCACCATGGCTATCCTCATCAGCATCTGCATGTGCATTGGGAATGTCCTCGTAGCACAGGAAGTAACTGAATGGCACGTTGGTGATAAACATTAATAACTGTGATGTGTATTGGCAGTAAGATTGGTGTGTCAAAGGTGGAGATATCCACACTCACTAGTCTGTGTTGCCATCTAATTCTGCCTCCCACTCATCACTCTCTTCATCTGTCTCCTGCCCATCTCGTATTCTCTCAACGTTCCACCGCATGCGTTTGTACAGGCCGGTGTCGACCTGGGCCAGGAACGGCGTGGGCTTACAGTATCGGAACACAGTCACCCTCAGTGGACCGAGCTGACTCTGACCGATGCAGAAGTGAGACAGACTGGGAATGCAAACAGGGAGAGTGAGACAGTCGAATATGAAATGGGCTGGTCACTGCAGGATGCAGCTGTTAGATTAAAAAAGAATAAGAAAGGATCAGCTGTAACATACTGAAACCTGTGGAGCAACATTAAAGAAGCTTTACAAGGAAGAGACAGATGCCTATAAAGCAGGCCAGACAACAAACTGGTGTGAAGTTGATCCTCCAGGAAAAGAGAAATGGTTTGATATTGTTCAGAAAATGTATTCAGTGGAAACACTGACCTATATTTTGAGATTCAAATGAAAGACTTGACAGGGATTGGGAGAACTGTATAATTTCATGAAATGCTGCATGAGTAAATCAGCAGTTTAAATATGGGATAATTGAGTGTATAAATGTGTCTGACTACGCCATGACGACTTTGTGTTCTCTCATGTTGTCTCTGTGCTACTGTCACGTTAAAGGTAGTACACATGTATAAGTACATATGTTGTACCTCTGTGTTTTGCGCGTGTCTCTGAGTACCTGTTAGGATCGCTTTCGTCCAAACAGAGGACATTGTAGCTGGCGTACGTCAACACCAGCTGCTCCAACCTGTCACACAGCTGCTGCGAGA